GCCGCTGCAAACGCTAGCAAAACGCTGGTGAAACGCTGGAGAAACGCTGGCGTAACGCTAGCGTGACGCTGGTGACGCTGGGAACGCTAGATCGATATGCATCCTCTCCCCGGCACTGCCGCTGGCGTACGCTGGAAGCGCTACGCTACGCTGCCGCAAAGTATAAACGCAGCCTAAAAATGCAAAAGGTGTGCCGCCAAGGGGATCCGATCCATAAACCCACCGACCGAGAGCCCGTCGCGCTATCCACCACACCATCTGCCACTGCGACACTTGAGATGCAGAACCTATTGAAGAGAAATGCGCAGATGACCAGAAAACTCCATTGTAGCTCACCACATGCCAAGTAAGTATTGGATTTTGACCTTATTTTGCGCTGTTTTTCATGCCTGCTCAAAGGATACCCTACATACTATACCCTGTCAACGCTACAGCTAGAACAGAGGCGAATAAGGTGGTTTAAAAAGCCCATTCTTTTCGAATTATTTTCGACCTTTTTTGACATTCCCAGTACCGTTTAGCAAAAATGAACCCCATCGCTGTGGTCCTCGCATGGACCCCTACAACATGCAACAAACCGTTTTGAAAAAGCTCACCACGGCCTGAACGACCTCCCTTGTTAGAGCAAGAAAACCTCACAAAGTGTTGACCGACATCTCGGGCATTGAGGACTATGCGGGTGATATGGATTTCAAGATCGCTGGTAAGCAAAGGTGTACACTTGGTTCTTTGGTACATTAAACAGGTTATGCATGTTTTGAGGATCATCGCAGGGATTCACAGCAATGCAGCTGGATGTTAAAATTCCTGGTTTGAGTCGACTTCAACTCAGTGAGGCTCTCTCGAGCGCTAGAGCAGGAATCAATCATGTACTCGACAAGATGTCTGTCATACGGGATACGCCTCGGTTAGCTCAATGATTCTCATTATCCAGATATTATTTTGGGGATAGTAAAATCCTGATGTGGGGCACAACTTCCACCCCAGGTCTACGCTTGGTAGTAGCGATCGGTCTCGTCAAATATGAATATGACCATACACTGGCTGTTCTAGGACGAGTTAAGTTTTTTCAGCAACATTCTTGCAGAGAAGAGTTCAAACCGTCAGTACCAGTACTCGAATCTATGCGCTTAGATGCGCACAAAAGGCAAGCTCTATTCCGTGCTGGTGGAATGCATGCGAAAACAGTTGAGGCGGAGACCGGCGTAAAGGTAAAGGCGCATCATGGTTGAAGATCTCTGCAAATCTAATCTTCTCATTAATCCTCCATTTTACTTTTGAGATTAGTCTTGAAGACGATACCCACATCAATTTGTTCGCTCCCGACAAACATCGTTTACAAGACGCGAGAGCGCTTATTGCGAGGTATCTTTTTTCACATTGCCTTTTCAAAGCGTTCTGTTTGAATGAGATCAGTTTGAGGTTGCTCTCCGAGACTGACGAAATGATGTTCGCTTTCGGCCAAATGGTCCAAGCTGAGGTAGTTGAGCTGCAAGAACGTGGAGCTTTGTTACAGTTAGCCGGCATGGGTCGGCCAATTTTTGTGCCCAACTCTCAGCTACATGCTCTCCCTATTCGACATTCGTCTGCTAGTGGACTTAAGGTGTAATGCACTGACTAGTTATTTTCTCTTTTCAGAGTTATCAGAACATTCAGACGTCTTATAGGGATCGTCTGCAATGATTTTCCAAACATGGGGCTGGCCCATAAGTGATTTCCTGGCTTTTTTTTGAATCAGAATTTTGCTGAATGTGGGTTAACAATGTGGAACTCAAAGTGAAAGAACTCGTAAAACACCAAAAGTCTCAGAAAGTCATAAA